CCCAATGATTACTATATTAAATAGTGCAGCAATTTAAATACAAGCAGGCAAACATAAATTTGCAATCATTTCAATTTCATAACTTTGCACTCCTACTATGCAATCCAAAATGATACTTCATGTCCATTTAATTGGTGAAAGGTTATAAAGTGAGCTGGATGTCACGGCTGTTTAAATGTACTTTTGTTCTTGTTGCTCCTGAAGTTGACGTTGTGTCCGTCTGCTTCACAGTCACTCGGCTGGAAGAGCGAGAGTCAGACATGAAGAAAGAGTACAACGCTCTGCATCAGCGCCACACTGAGGTGAGCAAACCTTGGGCCCTCCTGTGAAATCACAAGAGTTAGATAGTCTGCTGAACACCTACTCTTTTCTTTTTGATTTCTAGCTAGGATTTATTACACATTAGGCCCCATATCGGCATAATCCACCAAACATGCTCACAGTCATTTCAAATATTCATGATACTAAGCTTGAATGATACAGCCATCATGAGCAATGTTTCAGTAAAAGAAGCAGAATGGTGTTTTTTTGTTTTCTACAACTCAGAGTATCTAAATATGTGTGATATATGTGAAGTATTCAAAGCACTTTTGACCCCCATCAGTCTGGTTATCCATTAATTCACAAAACACAGTGTGTAGTAGATTATACTAGTTATTTTCAATCATGAAATAACTCTAATCCTTTATATTGTCAATGTATTTATTTAAAGAGGACCATGTGGTTCAACATACACTATATTGCCCAAACTATTTGCTCATCTGTCTTCGCACGCATATGAACTTGAGTAACATCCTGTTCTTAATCAATAGGGTGTAATATGATGTTGGCCCACCCTTTGCAGCTATAACAGGTTCACCTCTTCTGGGAAGAAGACTTCCACAAGTTTAGGAGTGTTTATGGGAATGTTTGACCATTGTTCCCGAAGCACATTTGTGAGTTCAGACACTGACGAGGTCTGGCTCACAATCTCCGCTCTAATTCATCCCAAAGATTTTCTGTTGAGTTGAGGTCAGGACTCTGTGCATCCCAGTTGAGTTCTTCCACACCTAACCTCCTCATCTACGTCTTTATGGAGCTTGCTTTGTGCAATGGTGCACAGTCATGTTGGACCATCTGGGACCCAAAACTGTTCCCTTAAAGTCGTTAGCATGAAGTTGGCCAAAATGTCTTGGTATGTTGAAGCATTAAGAGTTCGTTTCACTGGAACTAAGGGCCTGAGCCCAACTCCTGAAAAACATCCCCACACCTTTATCCTCACTCCACCAAGGTTCACGCTTGGTACAGTGCAGTCAGACAAGTACCGTTGTCCTGGCAACCACCAAACCAAGACTCGTCCATTGAATTGTCAGACAGTGAAGCGTGATTCGTCACTACGGCTTGGATGCAGCTGTTTCCATGGAACTGTTAAACTCTCCACACATTGCTCTGAGCTAATCTGAAGGCCACATGAAGTCTGGAGTTCTTTAACGATTGAATCTGCAGAAAGTTGGCGACTTCTGCACACTATCTGCCTCTGCATCGGCTGACCCTGCTCTGAGTTCCTGTCATTCCCAATCGCTTCCACTTACCACTAACAGCTGACTGTGGAATATTTAGTAGTGAGGAAATTTCATGTGTGGACAGGTGGCATCCTATCACAGTACCACGCTGGAATTTACTGAGCTCCTGAGAACGACAGATTCTTTCACAAATATTTGTAGAAGCAGCCTGCATGCCTGGGTGCTTGATTTTTATACACCTGTGAACATGGAAGTGATTGGAACACCTGAATTCAACAGTCTGGAAGGTTGACTGAATACTTAGCATTAGCACTATAGCATGCTACCAATATGGAGCATGAAACTGACATTTATAGCTATTGCTAATTTTTAACTCTTATTCCTTGCTGGGCTTTTACATTCATAATGCACAACATTCAGTTACATAACACCACAAGATACTATAAACAAAAGTACAATAAATAAATAAATAGTGTAAAATATAGTGTAAGAAAGATAGATATTGTCTTCTACGCTACATCCATGCCCTCAGTTCAGATTGCCCTGCTCTCCGGTTGTTCTAAAAATGATTTTTTTGTTCTTGATTTCTTGGATCACAGATGATTCAGACGTACGTCGAGCACATAGAGCGGTCCAAAATGCAGCAGGCGGGGAGTAACAGCCAATCAGAAGGCACCGGCTGTGGACGATCGTGAGTGTTTTGTTTTTTCTTTCATTTATATTCTGCGTGTGTGTAATTGTCTGTTTCTGTTAATCTGAACTATCACCCCCCGTCGTGTTGTTGATGATGTTTTGCACAGATCTATCATCTATCTATTTCGTGTTGCAGCACATTTCTTGTGTTGAAGCTGGCGCCGTTTGTCATCAGCCACACTGAACAGCTGCTGTGTCCCGCTAACAGAGAGGAGAGGCGATGTGCAAACGGACGCAACAGTCATTATAAACCTCTGTGGAAAATAATTAGAAAAACAAAGGAAGTTTGACTTTAATGTGCCAGCTTGTCGTGTTGAGCCAGGGCCAATCCCATGGGCTTGACAGCTAGAAGAGGAGCGGGACATCTGGTGTAGCTGCCTATCTAAGCTCCAGATTAGTCACTTTTAGCAATATGTCCACTAACTCATAAAATAACCACAGTGAAAGGCATGCAAGAAGTTTGCTCCAGACTTCTGATACTGTAAATAATCAATTGAGTAAATGATGAGCTTGCTTTCAGCAGTACCAATCTTTTAGTTTTAGTTTAGATTTTTTTGCCTATTTTTCCTGTAAAAGGTGTCAAACTGTGAGATTCTTGCATGCAGGTTCTCTTGAAGTCTACCGAAAGACCGCGAAAGATGTTTAGGTTACAGATGACCATAAAGGTCATAGCAAAACCTTCAGCTACGAGTGGATGTCCAATGTCAGTGGCTGCAAAATGAATCCAAAACATTATTGATTCAACCCCGAACAGTTGCAGAGATGGTCTCATGGTGATAATCTGCACCCTTTTTTCCCCCTTTCCTTTTTTGGCATTTGCAAAGTTTTGATGCAACTTTGTGTTAAGTATGCAGGAAAGATTTCCCTTTAATAACTTCCCTGTGATGATTATATCTGTGCTCCAGAGTCTCCTAAATCTCGTTGAAGGGTTGAAGTGAGAGAAGGGTTTGATTTGTAATTGTTCCAGAAAGTTTTCTTTTTCTTTCTGAACTAAACCAAACCTCCAGTATTGTCACTAGCTGCCATTTCTCCGAGGCTCTGATTGAGTTTGCTGTATTTTTGTTGACTTTTCCTCTTTTTTGGACATCAATTACTTTAATCGTCTTACTGCCATTAAGCTGCTGGGACAGGACTTTGCTTCCGCTGGCCTTTCTTAACCATGACTGTGAACGAGCCAGAGCCCTAAAAAACTGAGACACTAGAAAAAGTTAAAACACCAAAAAGTTAAAACACCAGATTTTAAATGTTAAAGAGAATATTTCATCTTCACCTCAGCTCATTTTTTCCTCACTAAGTTATGCAGTTACAGAACTTTTGACCAGTCGTGCTCAAAGCTTTCCATGCCACTGTGTATCGTGTATCTCTAAAGTCAATTCGGCTACAGCGTCTAATGAAATGCATCTCAATCCTGCAAGTCTTCATCAACTGTACTTATTACTGGAGAATGCATGAGGACAGTGTTATAGGTGGTTGTTGGAGTCCTGCTGGGGTGTTCAGAATTAATAAAGTGAACATTTGATTATCCGAAGCAGTTTTAAAGACAAGACAGTGAAGATGTGCAGAAAAAACTAAACAAACTGTAGTTTAACTAAATGTGTAAAAGTGGGTGTTTGTTTGTGCGGTGTTATGCGTCATGGCATGTTCCTGTCTCCTGTCCTTCTCTAATCAGTGTCTGTCTTGTCTGTCTTGCTGGCTTGCTCTCTGTGCTGCTGTTTGCACAGTCAACGACACACATGGAGGAAAAGGTAAATCCAACATGATTCCTCGACTGCCTCGCTCCGCTTCCCTTGACTCTGAATTAAAAATATCCCTCCCCTTATATTTGCTGCGCTTCCACACTTTATGAATGAAAGTATTCCCTAATGCACTTAATTTGCTAGTTATCGATGCTTTAAACATCTATTTATTATGTTGGATGCATCAGCGATGTTGTACTTCAATCTTAAATTAAGGACTAAGGAATGGATCAAGGGTCATGTTAAGCATATTTTCCCAATATCTCCCCCTACCTTCTCCTCTTTCTCCCTCATGTGTTTCTGCCAGTAAGTTTGTCCCCGTCTGTCTGTCTGCCTGTCCTGCTTGTCTTTTGCTTTGTCCATGTTATATATAATTTTAAACATCAGGATCTGAGGTTGTTTTTTCTTTGGATGCTTTTTGTTGGGATTAGTGAGATCAATGCTGTCATGTCTGGGCAGTAATTGTGATGTTTAAACCAAAGGTTAGTGTAGCTTCACACAAACACATGGTGCAGCTAGTCTGGACCTTTCCAAAGGCAGCAACAAAGCCATAGCACATCTAAAACTCATTAGTTTACATGTACGGGGTTAAATCTATACAAAGCCAAGTGTTAAACCATCAGTCTGTTGTTTTAGCAGTTTTTGGAGGTCATGATGTGGAGCCTCTGCTGCTAGCTAAAACAGTTGGTGGATCTTTTTGCCTGTGGACTGAAACAAAATAGCACTCTAAGCTAAGCTAACTGACAGCTTCACCTTTATTGTACAGAGACAGCAACAAAGAGTCATGAATGAGAGTGTGAGTGACTGTCTATAGCAGGGGTGTCAAACATAAGATACCGGGGCCAGAATCGGCCCAACAAAAACTCCAGTCTGGCCCATTGGATATGTTTGGAAACTGTGAAGGAGGGGAAAGATTTGGGACTAACTATATATTCATAGAGCTTTTTTTTAGGGCCTTTCCTACTGATAAAGACCTCCCCAAATGCCATTCATACTATTCTAGAGCAAACAAGTAAGAGTTAAACTATTAAAAGACAGAAACATGTTAGCGCGGTTAGCTTGTTAATGCGTTGACGCCGTCCAGCCCCATGCACAGGGCGATCCGCGGTAACTCGTTAACGGAGATTTGCCGCGTTAATGCAGTTATGTCGTTAACGCCATTTTAAAGAGATTAACGCTGACAGCGCTAGTTTTTTGGGTTTTTTTCAATGTTAATGATAGAAATGCATTTATGTTTAGGCCTTTTAGCATTTCATCCTGTAGAAAAACTGAATTGAACTGTTGAAGTGCACTTCTTTTTCCTATATTTAAGATATCTCTGGATTTTTAAAGGTGCAGTAAAAAGGTTTTAAATTGACAAAGGGTTGAGTTTTCAATAGTATGATCAAAGTGAATTGCATGTGGCCACGATGTAAAATGAGTTTGACATTCTTGGGCTATAGTTTAACCCAGGCACAGACTTAAAAAACTGGTTTTGCTTTGCATTATATGCCTGCCAGAGTGAGCTCCAGCACCCCGGGGGGGAAGGGTGTTGAATATAATACACTGAAACAACCAAGAGGCAGTCTCACCTAATCTCCCCCACCTCTGTGTCTCCTCCTCCAGCAGCAAAGCAGAGCGCCCACCATCGTTGAGCCTGTACCCTGATGGCATGGTACGTGGGGGACTCGGGGGGGCTAGGATGATTCCCGGGAAAGACATCTGGCAGGTCAGCGAGCTCGGCCACTCTACCTTCAGCTCCGCCTACCAGGTGGGACGGAAAATGGCCCTGTCCTCCTCCCTCGACCATAACAGCAGCCTGGGGAGTGGAAAGGGGGAGAGGCTGGCATTACTGCTGCCGGCCACACCCACACGGACCACCTCCCCTCCCACGCCTGCTTGTGTCACTTTTGAGGAAATTAATTTTGCATTGGAAATCTCAGTTGTTGTTTTTTAATCTAATTAGTTAGGTATAAACGATATGTTGACCCAAGCAAGCAGGGACCGCCGTTAGATGTTTGTTTTTGGCTTCATGCAGTTTTTTCTTGTGTCCTTATTTTACTGTGGCGTTGTGAAGCTGCTTTTTGTGTCGTGTTTTAGTTTACGCTTTTACGCAAAGTTTAAGCTCATGTTTATTAATGTTCGTATAAACTGACAGCATACAGTGCTTCATATGCTATCCAAGGAAACCCCATTTCCTTGAACTCAGTCTGAAACACATAATTTAGAAGCAATTTTAATATACTCAATACAATTTAAATGACTCAGCATAATTTTTTTATCCAGAGTCTAATGTGTTTTGCCTTACATATTTAGCCCCGTCACTTTACCTATTTGTTATCTAAGATAAACGTTTAAACCCATTCGCAAAATAAAATAGCAGAAAATTCCCAACTTTACAATCAGAGAGCAAAGTAAGAGACATCCCCGGCCTTCTTTCATTGCACGTTGCTCATATAATGTCATTTGTGTCTCACCAAGGAGGACGGATCAGAGTCGGACTCGGTGGCAGCCACACCCAGCAGCACAGGAAGTAAGTCCAACACACCCACCTCCTCTGTCCCGTCCGCCACAGTCACCCCCATCAACGAGAGCTTCCACGGGCACGACTTTGACGTCACGCGGCCTGGAAACCGCAGGAAAAGCGCTAAGCGTCTCAGCCGGAATATGGAGGTGCAGGTTTCCCAGGAAACCAGGAATGTCAGCATCGGTAAGAGGATGTCACTGAGCGTGTCCTCACTTCAGAGGTTTGAAGTTACGCTGCATAAAATGTCAGTAGATTGCAGAGTTGCTCACAAAACGTTCAGACAGCCACACTCGGTACTCTGCTCTTCCAGGCATGGGAAGCAGTGATGAGTGGTCCGAGTTTCAGGAGCTCATCGATTCTACACCAGAGCTGGATATGTGTCTGGACCCCCGTATTTATGGAGGAGGAAACAGGTACAAGCAACAGTGTTGCTGTTTTAAGCACGCAGTGTAAAAGGATATCAACATCCATGTTTTCCTGTTAAAACAAAGACAGAAACAGATCTAGAAATCCTTTAGGTGGTCAGAGCTTTGATGGATTAGTCCTGCGTGTCAACAGCATTATATTATATATTTATTAAATAAATAAATATATGAAAAATAAATGTGTTTTCATGTGTTTCAGCCCCTCCCAGGGCATAGTTAACGAGGCCTTCGGCATCAACACAGACTCTCTCTACCACGAGATCAAAGACGCCAAGTCGGACATCATTGGGGATGTGGATGCAGGTGCTGAGCTGCTAGGTAAGAACAGGATTCTGGTTTCAGTATGTTTTGATATATTCATTATTGACACCCTAATCCAAGAGCCCTAAAGCCTGGAAGATAAATAATTTTCCCATGAAAGTGCAATGCTGGTCAGCAGCACATGATTTACTTCAGAGGAGATACTTGTAAACAAATAAAAGCGCCATCTTCACCTCGTCCTCCCGGGGTGACTTTTACTATAAGCTAACAGGCCAATATGCCATGTTATCGCACTCTAAATAGAGAAAATAAGGGCAGATGCATGTGCAGTGTGCGTGTGTTACACAGAGCCAGCATTTGTATTTTCTTTGCACTGCAGGCTCCGAGCTCCATGCGAGGCTGTGCGAATCTGCTGCACTAACTTTACATTCTTTGTCTTGCATGGGGCGCTGCAGCACACGTCTGCATCACCACACAGTCATCCTAAAAAAAACCACAATCTCACACCCCGGCTCCAGCTGCACATCCATGCACTTTTTCTTTCATTGTTTGTCTTTGTTATACTTTGCTCTTGTTTTTACAGCAGTTTTAGGGGCAGAGGAACAGTAAATGGAGCAGATTTGAACAGATGTTTTTGTCACTTATGTTCACATTAATCAGTTTAGATGCCCACTATCGCACACATCCCATTTTGGGCTTATTCACACTGGGAGATTCTGGGAGATTTTGTGTATCAGTATTGACTCACTATCCCTGAGTTTTATGTTACAGAAGCAGCAAGCGCACTCTGACCCCGTCTCCTTGTCCATCTGTTAACTTCTCACCCATTTCCTTTTTTCCCCCTTTTATGTGCTTCTGCCGGTGACACCCATAGGCGAGTTCTCAGGTGTGTATCTGAACACACGTTGGTTGGTATTGTTTTCTCTTAACTTTCTCAACTCCTCTCTACTTTCCAAAATCCACTTTTAAAAGTAGATGCTAATCAGTGGATATAATTGATAACAAAGTAACTTTGGAGTTATTGTGATGCTATGCTAGTAGATGACAAGTGTCAATTAGCAAGCTGTGCATTGGTTTCGTTCCAGTCCTTTGAGGTAGCGGTGAAATAGCAGTTAATATTTTATTTTTATAATATTTTATTACTACAAGCCATCCCTGTTTAATTTTCAGTGAGGATTTCAGTGGTGGGTCCTTTCAGTGGGTCTTTCTAATAGATTTGATGATATAAAGGTCAGATTGTCGTTTGGTTCTGTAGCCATGCCTAAAAACCAAATCAATAAATGCTTATCAGCGTCTTCTCTCCTCTCTTCCCGTTCTTCCTTTTCTTTTTTCCATCTCTAATCTTCACCCTTTCCTCTTTTCTCTCGTCTCCTTTTCTTCTCTCCTTGTTTTGCTTCCAGTCCCTGATGATTTCTTAGGTAAGGCGCCCCATGCCTGCGCTCACATTTGCTTTAGCTTTCACATCCCTCTGTTTGTTTATGTTATGTGGCTTCTTATTTATAATTTTTTTTAAACCTCATATGCCTGAAATGTTATCATCCTTCGGTAATTGCAGTAAATCGTTCGGACATTATAGAACATTAAAATAATCCAGTGTTAAAGAGATGTTGCAGAGCTCTTATTCAAACAAATACTAAATGTATATATAGTGGAAGATATAATAACAAAAGAGAGTCAGGCAATGATAACAAATTAAGAAATGCATGAGCTCAAAAGCGGTCATGTGATAAAGAAAGTTTTCATATGACTGTGTGCAGCTCTAAAGAACTATGTGATTCAATCACCCTGTGATTCAGTGGGAATTAAGAGGGTCAGTAGCTGCCAAGCAAATGCACTTGACTAACTGATCATCGGCGAATGTGAGCACCTCCATCAAAGCAGAGGTTTTGGCAGTTTGCTGGTCTGGAGGAACGCTAAGGAGGAAAGACATCAGCGATGATCTTCGAGAAGTAAATGTTGATGCCCAACAATCTGGGAAAGGTTAAAAGGTCATTTCCAAACAACTTAAGGTTCCTCATTCTACAGTGAGAAAGATGAAAACATTCAAGACAGATGCCAATCTTCCCATGAGTGAATGTCTCAGGAAATTCCCTAGGCGTCTATAGGCATGTTAAATGTTACTGTTAATGACAGTACAATTAGAAAAAGACTGAACAAGTATGGAGATACTTTCTCATATTGCACAGCACCAACAACTCATACCAGCTGTCAAGCACGGTGGTGGAGCGGTGATGTTTTGGGCTTGTTTCGCAGCCTGGGCACCTTAAAGTCATTGAGTCAACCAAAATATTCTACAGTCAAGTGTGAAGCATCTGTCAGATGGCTCAAACTGGGTCATGGCACAGTGATTCCAAGCGCAGCAGCAAATCTATAACACAATGGCTGAAAAAGTAAAGAATGAAGGTGTTGCAATGAACCAGCTGTGCATAAGCAAATCTCTCAAATTTCGATGACCTGAAGCAACGTTGTAAAAAAGAGTAGGCCAAAAATCCCCCACATAGATGTGAGAGACTGTCATACAGAAACCAATTAATTCAAGTTATTGCTGTTAAAAGTTTTTCTACTGAATCATGGGGTCTGCTTAGTTTTTTCACAGGTCTGCATCGAATGATGTGAAAACTTTCTGTTTTTCTTCAGGCTGAAATTCTTTAATTAATTTGAGCTCATTTGAAATTTGCTGTCAGAAGTGTTAAAACATGACATCCTGATACTGAGGAGTTATTTTTCCATCCCTGCAGTCACATCACACACCACAACATAATACTTACACTTTTAATCCAGCGTATAATATAATCCACTAAATGTAACACCTATAAAGAACCATCAGTATTTTTGTTTTGCTTGTTTTTGATGTGTTGTCATGTCTCAGAGTTTCTCTGAGTCGATGTGAGCTTTGCTTTTGCTTTTGCTTCCATGTTTTTTTTTTTGGTTTTTTTTTTCAGTTCATTTTGGGCAATAACGTCGATAAATAGAATTGAATTTTCAACACGATGACATGTTTATGCATGATAACACTAATACTATAATTATTAAAAGATGAATCCTGAATTTTAAAAAATTTTGCAACTAGTTTGGATTTTGTGTTCAAGGTGAAAATAACCTACTTTACTCTGTCTACATTCAAGACATAAATAATAAGAGCAATGAGTTATTTTTAAGATTTCTCAGTATGTTTCCAGTCCTTTGTTAGCTTGACTTCTCCTTGTTGTTAATAGTAGAGCTTCAATCATTAATAACTTATTAAACCTCTTATATGAAAACTCATCTTTTGTCCCAGATTTACTTTGGTTTGCCTTGAAAGCAGCGTTACCACGTAAATGTTTTTCTCATCAATCAGTCGATTGAATAGATCGGCTTATGAATAAATTATGATTTTTGTTGTGGGGGAGTAACAGTGATGTGAATGTGATTGTTTCAGGGATGAGCAAGGAGTGGGAGAACATGCTGGCAGAGAACAAACAGCTCTTACAGACCAAGTAAGAGACTCGGTGAAGCCTAATATGCGCCTGATGATGCTAATGTCACACCCTTTCTGCATTTCATTCAAAGGAAACGCTGAAAGATTTGTTTTTAGTATTGAGACACTTGATCATGGTTACCTCCTGTTTTCTTATACAACATGTTCTTAGACCAAAACCCTACGTGTGAATGTGAAATTGCAGCTCGTAGTTTCCCACTATATCCCCTTTCTGTTCTTTGCTTGACAGAAATGCTCTAAATATTGTCAAAAATGACCTTATTGCCAAAGTGGACGAGCTGTCGGGGGAGAGGGAGGTACTGAGGGAGGAGCTGGAGGCGGTGAGACAGTCAAAGAACAAGGTGGATGCCAGAATCAAGGAACTCGAAGAAGAACTCAAGAGGTAAAAAATAGCAACGAATGTTTGAGTCCTTGCACAGACGCAGGATGCTGTGCTTGCTTTTGTGTAATTTAGACTTTAATAGGTTTTTTCATATAACACCCACCTTTAATATCATCAGTAAAACAATAAAATCAACCTGCAGCAACAGAAATGATTAAAATGATCTAATGAGACATGCCGACAATAACTGTTCTATTTCTGTTAGCTAATAACATCTTATTGAGTTCAGATGTTATTGTTTAGTACTTGTCTTGGAGGAGTATGTAATCTCTGTGTTTTTGTTTGTTGGCTGCAGGTTACGAGCAGAGGCTCTGGGGGCTTCTCGGGACTCCAAGGATGAAGTTGGTGATGATGTGAGTAGAACTGCCCCTGCCTCAGGCTGAACTACTGATGCGTTCATGTCTCTATACAAATATGAGAAGCAGAATAGAAAGTCTTCAGCCAACCAAAGTGCTGGAAACATTCCTTAGAGATTTTGCTCCATATTGAAGTGACAACATCACACAGTTGCTGCAGATTTGTCGGCTGCACAACCGTGCACCAGCAGCACCAGCGTTACCCAGGATGGATCCATGCTTTCATGTTGTTTACACCAAATTCTAACCCCACCATCCAAATGTTTCAGGACAAATTGAGACAGTGGAACAGTCAAAGTTTTTCCAATAGTAGCACACGTAGGCTTTTCTGCTCTACTCGAGTACTCTGTACAACAATCCTCATTCACCCATATATACAAGCACTTTTTGAAGTACTGTTCCTATCACCTTCTCTTTTTTGGACCATTCTCTGTAAAACTTGGAGATGATCATGTGAGAAAATCCCAGTAGATCAGCACTTTCTCAAATACAGCAACGCGATTGGTTGAATAGATATTTGTGTTAACAACCAGTTGATTGGGTGCACCTAATAAAGTGGCCAGTGCATGCATATGCCACAGGCTAGTTTTAGGCTGATGTAGAGAGGGATTTCCAAATTAACACCAGGTCTCTGTTCTCTCATGTGACCAGTTTTCATCGCCGATGCAAGACGGCGACATGACAATGACCCAGCGGCGGCGATTTACCCGGATGGAGATGGCCCGGGTGCTGATGGAGAGAAACCAGTACAAAGAGAGACTGATGGAGCTGCAGGAGGCCGTACGGTGGACAGAGATGATCAGGTAGACTTGAGAGAATAGGAAGTGAAATGCTTCTGGGCTTAAAGTCAACACACAGAGTTTTCCTTAAATGTGAATCCATATTCTGTGTCAGTATCTTGTTGTTCTGAGGTGGTTTTTCTGAGTGGCATCATATTTTTTACAGCATTTTTAACTGTTTTTATTCCATTTTTGTCATTTTCTTATATTTTCCAGTTGTTTTCACTTCATGTGCCCTATTTATAATGTTAAAAGTGTTATATTATAGTACTATAAATAACTTTTATAAGTAGTCTTATTATTTTAATGTCATCTTCCCCCTCAGAGCATCCCGTGAGAATCCTCCCATCCAAGAGAAGAAGAAGTCTACCATCTGGCAATTGTGAGCTTCTGCTTATAATCAGCTTTCTATGGTGATATAAAAGAAAAAGAAATATCCTAAGCAAATTTCTCTTTCTGTCCATCTTCTAGCTTCGCACGTCTCTTCAGCTCATCATCCAGCCCGCCGCCCGTCAAGCGGCCGTTCTGCAACGTCAACATCCATTACAAATCTCCCTCACCGGCCGGTTTCCCTCAGAGACGCAGCCACACCATGTGTCAGATCTCCACCTCCAACCGTACCCTGGAGTTCTTCCCTGAAGAGTGAGCGGCGGCTGCACTTCCCCACATCACGCATCACACTAAACCCCCACACTTATCTGCTAAACAGCTCGCTGCTCGCTCGCTTGTGGCCACTTGCAGAAAGTTTGCGTAGATTATCAGCAGAGAGATGTGTTTTTAAATGCTTCCAATAGAGATTGCTTATTTTGGTCTTGACGTGCCATTCAGGTGCATTACACCTTTTGGTACAAGTGCAGCTCAGACTTCTTTTATTTCCCCTTAAACGCAGTTTTTTGACCACAAATGTTTGTCTGGTAAAGACACAAAAGCCACAAAAACACCAACCTCCCAATCACACAGACACAGAGGCCTCCAATTTTCTTCTGTTATGTCTGAAAACACTAAACTGCACGTTACTCTTAGTAATTTTAGAAGATTGCTTGGCAGTAGTTATTGCACTTGCTTTTACTTGCCTTCTCTTCTTCATCTCTCTTCTCTTTGTCCTGCTGCTGGCTGGCCAGGCTGCTAACGCTTCGCTTTTTTCTTCTCTTCCCTTCCCTGCCTCCCGCTTCTTCCAGACTGGCCAGTAACGGTGTTGCGTCTCTCCTCAGTGACTCGGCGATGTTGGCCCGCCGAGAGCAACGCCGTGAACAGTACCGGCAGGTTCGTGAGCACGTGCGCCGTGATGACGGCATCATGCAGACCTGCGGCTGGAGCGTGCCATCTCGATTCAAACAGGTACCCAGAGTGCTGACTGTGCGGACAAGAAAACACACATGAGGAGAAACATAAGATTTTAACAAAGCATTGACTGCCAAGAGAGTGAATACTTAAGTGCGTTCCAAATAATTTTTAAAAATCTTTTGTAAAGTTGTGAAAAACTCCAGATTCCATATTATCTCCAAATTAAATGAGTGTGCCAGTTACTTAATGGGTTTGAATGAATTTCTTAGTAGTCCTTAATTACGTGTGATACTAAAAGTTGGGTAAAACCAATATTCAAAGTCCCAGAAGTTTGATTCTGTTCATCTGGACGTAGCGTCTTTAGTCGGGGAAACTTTTTGTCACTTGGATGTGTGAACAGAATCAACTTTCTGGGATTTCCTTACCTGGATGACTGATGACTGAGCATTCATCAAGACAGTCTATGAAGTCATTTCTGAACCTTTGAACAGCTACTGGATCTTATTTAAAACTATACATCCCTCTTTTTTTAATGCTAATTCTTATATGTGAAAGTCGAGGGCATTGAGCATTATTCTGCAGCACACTGTCAGCGAGAGAAGATTTCATTCAGTGATTTTAAATTTGCTTACCCAAGCTTCAAAGTGAAATTATCACTAGTTGGCCCTGCGGGGCATTTGTATAAACAGGAAATAAAAGTATGCAAAAGCCAGTGAGAACATGTAATCCTTTTGATGTTTGTCTGCTAATACATGCAGAGTTGTTTAAAGTTACCCAACAGAAGTAAACGAGACGGTTGGAAATATTTTCAGCTGTGGTTTAAACACATTTGGTACTTTAGTGAGCATTTGCTTGACATGCTGGACAGCATGACTGACTCATAGTTGAACTAGCTAACAAACTTCCTGTTTACTGACATGATGGAAAAATATCTGATCATTGGATATTTCCTCTTTTTATGGCCACATTCTGTAAACCTTAGAGTTGATTGTGTGGGAAAATCCCAGTAGATCATCAATTTGTTGATCAGCTCATGTCTAAATGCATAAATGTACAAAGATCCTGCCATGTGGAAACAGGTGTACCTAATAAAGTGGCCAGTGAGAGTGTCAGGATATACTTTTGCATATAATTGTTAGAGGAATCGGTTTATTCTGGGTTCTGGCTTTTATGAGGTTTGCTGATTATAAAACTGATCAGCATGGAGACGAGCCGACAACCCTCAGTGTTTGATTTTAAGCTCGCAGCATGGAAGCGTGCTTTCAATTTCGGCCAGCGGACTTTAAGGTTGGCTCTGTGCAGCTTGAAGGCCAGAGTGCAGAAGGTGCTGGTAGGCAGGTGGCTCTAACTCTGGTCTCCCACAGACTGGTGGTCAGACGGACAGCGCTCAGGACAGCCCGCTGAAGAGGCAGCAGGCAAGTGAGACCGACAGAGTGCCAGCATGCGCCTTTATGGCTCCCTCTCCCTTTTAACCTTCCAACCAAAGCTCTGACCCCTAGACAGCAGCGGACAGCTAATAGCAGAGGAAAGACGTGCAGATACTTAAGGAAGACTTTTATTTTGAGCACTCCAAGTGAAGGCTTTTCACAGAAAGACTATTCTGTGAGGAAAAGGTTGCCACTGTACAGTACATTTACTGTTCCTCTGGAAATGCATGAATAGTTTTGTTTTTCAGCATGATGCAAATCAGAAAAGGCTGTATTTCGAAAACATACATGTGTTACACACCTTGCTCTTTGATGAAGGCCTTCCTGTGGAGTTTATTCCATCTGATCTCCTCTCCCTCTGCTAGTGGTGTTGCAACCTTTTAACCTTTAACCTCTGTCTGTCTCAACCTGCCCTACTTAACATATGGATGTTACTCCTGTGCATTATCTCAGTATC